GGCAGCGATTTCCAATTTTGCTCCCGGTAGGCGGCGCTTGTGTATTCGGAGGTCAAGCCAAAGAGCAGTTATATTAAGAGAAGACACTTTGTGGGATGCCTTTATCATCCGCCGGTGGGCCCCATTCACCTTGAGAGTCATCTGCATTATAGGCCGACTGTAAATTTTTTGTTACATCATCGCATATTGATATGTGATAAAAACTAGTCACATCTTTCGTATTTTGATGCTAAACAGCAAACTTGCTATGTTTAGCATCAAAATAACTTGCCGAGCTTGCTGTTTAGCGTCAAAAAGTACGCTAGATTTGACTAGTTCTACTTCCCACACCTACTGGCGGGGAAGAATTGTAATTGCGAAGATTTCTGAAAATGAGTTATGTTTTTTGGATGTTATATGACATGTACATTACGTAAAGCTGTCTGTCGGTCTGTCTGTCTATCGGTCTTTCCGCTAATCTTATATCAGCCTATAACTTAAGTACTGCTTGGATTTTGATGGAACTTTTGCACGATGTTACTACTTGGTGGTGGGGGTTGTATGAGACTAGGAGGGTTTATATCAATTTTTTGATGCTTGTACATTTATAGGGTCCCATCCTTGGTAATTATACGCACCTATTAGACATATTTGACACATCATAGATTTATCAGGCAAACGGATCGCGTGCCGCTGACCAATAGTGCTGCTGCCGGCGGCACACTGAGTTCTGTACTGTTGTTCTGGTATGGGGTTACACGCTTTGCTCTATTAAAACGACGTTGCCAGATGCAGTACCGGTAGTGCAGGGAAATTATATCTATGGACTAATTGTATGGATTTGTTTGACTGACTTTTTTCTCAGAAGGTCTAGATTGTGCTGAAGGTAATCTTTTATGAGTCAATAAAGGCGTTGCGTGGGAAATACATAGTCATTATACGCGACGCCATTTTTTTAACATTCCGTATCAGTACGCCAAGTACAAATAAAAAAGCAGAATAATGTTCAGCTTTTTACGGTTTTTGATGGTTACGTCAAAAAGTGATACGAAATAAGGCCAGGCTGTCTAGATATCTCGCGGCCATGTCGAATATATCGTCGATTGGTCAAATAAGCAATTTGAGGTTGGAAAACTTTTGTATTTCAAGCTGACGTTCTTCTTTTATTACCAAGCTAAGTCGTGTCGTATTCCGTGTAAGGCCCTAACAGTTAAATAGCTATATGATGAGATACAGGTTTTATTGAATGAAAAGTATATTCCGTAGGTTGAAAATGGATGATAAATATCCCACCATGAATCAAGGTCTAAAAAAAAGTAAGTTTGAACAAAAAATATGTTCACTACAAGTGATGGTCAATGAATTCATTTAAAAAGGAGTATCTACTTGGTGATAAAACACATTCTTTTCGACTAAATGAGAATCTTTTTGGAGTCATCTCTTATCTCTTTTATTCGCCTTGTCTGTCTTCTCTCTATACAGGGTGACTTCGAAGTTGAGTCATTTATTTTAACAGTGAGTAGATCTGATCAAAAGAAATGTTTTTTTCCTTTACCATTTTTCTGGTAAAATTAAAGTAACAAAGTTATAGCCCTTTGGAAGTTTGAGTACCGCCCTGCCTATTATATGCTCGTGTTTGGCGACAACGGATATAATCCGCCTGACCGGTTCATCGCATCGGAAACAAAAAAGCGAAAGAATTTGAAACTTGAAACGTTTATCACAATGTTTTTCGTCAGTCGATAACGCGTTAGTGAATAGTAGTGTGTTGCGTGGCTCAAACGAAATCAAAAATGGCACATGTTTACGAAAATGCTGAACTTGTGGACATGATTCTTATTTACGGGGGGGCAGTCTTTACAAAATGCTCCCGGATGCATCTCGGATTTATGCGAATCGGTTTCCCAATCGAGTGCAACCAACCCCTCGTGCGTTTGTTAATGTAGTACAAAGGGCTCGTGAATCAGGTGACTTAAGACCTCACAGGTGAGAGCATGCTGCTCCAAGACCGCACGATCAAATACAGGTCCGCACTGAAATACTTGTCGGGAGGATACTTTATTAAACAAGGTAACATTTTTTTTTTATTTTTTCTTTTATTTTTACACACATATTTTGGTTTATCTTCCTTCTGCAATCATTATCTGAAAATTAATGACTCAACTTCAAAGTCACCCTGTATAATTACTCTTTGGTCAAATTATTGAAAATAGATGGAAAAGAGACATATTTGTTAGAAAAGTAGTATAGCACACCAAATTATGACATTTTCTTCGCTCATGAAGGAACGAGCTTCTTTGACGTGAATCCTATACCGGGAATTTATCATTTTGTTTACTACTCACTGGCACTCATTTCATGAGAATTCTTTTTTTCGCAGGAAAGAATGCTCGTGTATGGGCAGCGATTCGGTATAGTGGCCACCGAGTATAAAAAAGTATATCTCGTTTTTCTATAACGGCGGGCAGACGTAGTTGACCACTCTCGATGGCAATAGTTATTTGTATACTGAGAGTCGAAAATGTTACTTTGTTGCCCTAGACCCTAGACATATGCTTGATCCTGGGATGTTTCGAGAGTAGGGCAAATAGTTTGTGCTCGATTTTGCATTCGATATAATTAACTATTTTTCGTACATTAATGTTGTAATTATGATAGTATCCATACATCAATAGTATCCACGAGTTATCTGTCGTTTTCCCGGTACTACTTCTCTTTCCGATGCTGTGTATACGCGCTTAGAAAAATGCAGCTATAATGAGACTTGGCCGTAGGAATTATTCTCAGGAGGGGCGATTTTAGACATCGACAAGATTTTTGTATATTTTCACAGTGACTCAACCATCATCATAGTTCCAAAATTTTCTACACAAAATCATGTAAAAATATGCCAATTTTAGAGTGCAACCCGATTCTGAGGGGCCGGAATGGCTAGAATGCTCAAGCTAATTTTGGAAACTATAAACCACATCTTATTCAACAGTGCAACGTATTTTTGCTTGTATTTACTGGAAATGTAAAAAAACTGATTTAAATCACGAAAAGCGATGTTTTGCGAGTAAGGTTGTGCTTTCTATCGGATTTTTCTTTCATTTGATAAAATATCAAATGGAGCTTGCGATGCCCTTTTTTGATTTAGGAACTCAATGTTATTGTTTTTTTTTCAAACAAGTAGCTTTTCTCGGAAAAACAAAAAATCCTGACGGAACAAGGCTATCGAAAAGATTTTTCTGTTGGAGGTGGCAGCTGTTCACGTGAGCTACAAATTCCTCAAAATAGTTTATGATCACTTATTTTGATAAATGATTTTACGTTGAATGACATTAAAGCAAGGGGCTATTTTGATACTCAAACAGTACATTATAATTTGATGTTGTCTCGTCTACAAACACTAGGATCATTTTATGATCTAGAATCATAACTGAAAAGCCTATTGGAACGACAATTTTTAGGTAATTTTCTGGAAAATTTGAAACAAACTCCGAAAGTTGAACCACATATTGTACGACAGACTGAACCGCAAGATGTGTTTGATGTAGAATCATTTGTAGCATTACGACAAAGAAAAATGAGAAGTCGCAGGCCAAAGAAAAATAGATTTGAGAATGACGACTGTGTGATCCCAAAGGTAAATCGATCTATTTGAAATCATGTTTCAGCAACACGACATTGAAGGAAATAATAAAAGAATATAAACAATGCTTTTTTTATGTAATGATGAAGATGAACAAAAAAAAAGTTGTTTTTTTATGTTTTTGACAGACTATTCCAGTGCCAAAGCCAGTGACTACCCAAGCCAGTCCAAGTATTCATTTAAAGGTTTGTGTCGACGAAAATGAAGTTTCTAATAAGGATAGGCTAGAAAATCACAAGAATAGCAATGGCAAAGACTACCTGGAATCACAATCTCAGGTGACACCGAAAGCTATTCCCGTGAACGATTTGGCTCCAAAAGTAGGAAATGTTATTGCATTCAAGGTAAGAAACGTATCAGTAGTGCTTTCCATTTTTCTCCAATCATTTGGAGAAGTTTTGAAAAGTTGAAATACTCGTAGATTAGGTCTTGAACATTAAACCATAGGATGTATCATAAATCAGTATCAACCTTTTTTTGCGTGTTTCATGTTTCAGCATTCGGCAACAGTAAAGTTTATTTTAACAGGATAATACGTCAAATCTTCATTTCCAGAACAGCTGTTGGGTGATGTTCTGCTCCCAAGATATTATGTTTTGAAAATTGTCATGTTTCAAGATAAACTAGAGAAAATAACCAATTAATCATTTAACCCTTTTTTGTAAAATGGTATGTATGAATGTCGCAAATCGATACATGTATAGTTCATTTCACGTTTTTTGCGGTTACATCACAATCTCATACAAAATAAGTAGACAGATTGACCAACTGTACCATGTGCTGAGCTAAACTCCCTAAGAAAAATTGCACTCTGCACATGTCGATCCTTAACGCAGCTGCTACTCGCTCTTGCTCACACGCATGGATTGGGTGATAGAAGACCATTGTTTTAATGCACTTTGCGAAAATATACCAATAAATTTAACACCGACTGTCGACATTATGATTGTATCTTCAGGCATTGCTATATTCTATTTGACTCAACACAAGGTAAACTCGCACGCCCATGCCAATGAAGTTGTATTGATAGCGATAAGTATAAATGTGGCAGGCTAATACGTTAACGAGAAAATTTTCAAGGCGGCGCGGCGAGACAAAAGTAATGTGGGAGGGAGAGATGCATGGAATAGAAATGGACGATATCATTATTTTTAATGTCTGTGATAACTGATATTGTTAATTTTTGATATCAGTGAATTAAAACCGTAACGTCATCATGACTTTCGAATAACGATGAGATTGTGGGTATATTGAGCAAAATACCGCGATCAAATCGTATGGAGTTAACACCAAAGCCTATATGGCATGACATCGCTTCCGGTGATATACGATTCTCAGCCTTAGCGGCTAGATATCATGGGCATCTCGCACATTGAAACGTTAACGGTATTTGGTAACAAACGAGATTCATGATTTAGAAATATCAGTTATTAAATCACAGTTCGTGAAATATCTGTCACCTCTAGTATGGAAGTAATTCTAGTAGTTATACTGTGACCCGTGAAGAGACCTATACTTCAGCATGTGAGATCTGTTCTGAAAGTGGTATAGTTTGGGTATAAACACATGATGTGTTTCAGTAGAACTACAGCTATCGAATACTCAAAAAGTTGACTTGAGACAGGTGTGAAAATTTGTATTCTCAGTAAAGCTAATGGGAGCAATTCGCTTAATATTTTCAAAATAGTTGCACTTCCGATTGTGATAGAAGTAGATACCAATTTGCTCATTTTAAATAGGACACTGTATATTATTCACTTTTTGGATTCTACGCGAGATTCACAGGCCATGTATATCAATCATCCTATACTTACATCTAACAGTTGTGCCTTGTGATTAATAATTTTCATCTAGTAAGTGACCTAAATTAGTCGATTTTATTTCAAATTTGGTTGACGTTTTCAAAAAAAGAGTTTTAAAACCTTCAAAATACATTCCAGGTAAAACTATCAGATCATAAAACCAATGATTTATTTCCTATATACATATTGTGCTAGATTTGGTTTTTTAATTATAGGTTAACTGTAACTTTACTGCTAAGCGGAAGTTGAGTCTGAAAAAGTCGATTTCACTGTCCGGTTTGTCTCAGAATCACCTATGGGTTAAACAGAGTTGTAGTTAAACCGCAATGACTAACCTTTTTTTTGGCTAGACTGTAGCTTGAGCTATCACGGAAGATCGCGCATCTCAAAACTCACAGAATACGATAGTTCAGACATAAAAGCAGCATCGCCGCGTGAACAATCATGGGTTAATTATCCAGAACTTGAGAGACGAATTCACTAATAAGTTAACTTCCAAGTTATAGTTGCCTAATTTGGAAGTTAATCTGCGGATGAAAAACCGGACCTTAGAGGAAACTTTGCGACACTCATAAGCCTAAACTTAAACTGTTCATCTTACAAAAAAGTGAACAGATAAATTGTTTGACATTTTCTCTCGTTTGATACATTTGCAAATTTATTAATCTTGAAATAAGTGAGAAACGAGATATGGTCTAAAAATGGTTTATTAACCGTATTAAACAATACTAGTATTCACCAGAAATTTTAATTAGTACATCGAAAAGGTATCGACTTTCCCAAAGCTGTTTATGCCAAAGAATTTGAATAGATTAGAAGAAGCCTAATCTATATGTTTACATTGCATTGTTTGTCGACAAAACTGCGTAGTTTAAGTGCACACTTCTGATTGCCTACCAGTGCCTACCAAAAGTGACAGCGTTGTACCATGTACCATCTTGAAATCATCTAACGCCTCAGTTATATGTAAAAAATCGCAGTTTCAAAAAATTACACTAAAAATAAGCTCTCAATGACAGAACTGTCTAAAAATTGACTTGTCTCAAGTGCACTTTGATTCTCACTACGGACAAAATGCTCCTTCTATCTAGTCTGAATTCGTTGGCTTAGACAATTCCCTGTTTGAACACCGAATGATTGAACTACTTGGATTTCAATGAAGAGTTAGACTATAAGTGAATATGTTTGTTGTATCATTACTGCCATGGTATAAAAATTTATATAAAACCGAGATATCACGTAGCACTATACTGGGCTGTATATTGGTTTTTGTACTTTTCAGGTACTTAAAATGTCAGAAAACTACACTCCTGAGGTATCGGCGCAAATAACTGGGAAAGTAGTGGACTACAATCCTTCAGATGGATCTGTAAAGTTTGATATTATTGGTTGGTACACAAACACTTTTTTCCATAATAGTATCTTAATCTCATTAAAATATTTTCAGCTGGTTTGGATGAACTCAAGGAACCAAATGGAAAGTTATCTATAGCAGAGAACGATGATGTCAAACAAAACCAAAACAAAGAGTTTAAATGGAATGCATTGATAGAGCCAAGACTTTTTAATTAGAATTTGTTTTTATAATAGTCTGTACTATTTTTCTGATAATAAACTTTTAATCTTTATTGTTCGAGTTTCCATACAACAAAAAATTTATATCATACTATAGGTAGCGTTTATTATCACGAAGCGCTGTAAACCGATGAGTTGAGTACGTTTATACATTTGTTTGATTACAACGATATTGCTTAATGATGGTAACATTTGTAATATTGGCTGCATTCACTAGCACTCAACAGGATTGCGTTCGTGAATTGTTACAGGAATGTAATTTGTACTACTCAGTAACAATTTCAGCGTTCATAATTGTTAGATGTACCTGTTTCATGCGTTCGGAAATAGACCAAGTTAATCCTTCTGGAACGTCAAAAGTGCACGTTTCTTTCCGTGCTCAGAACCTTGGTAATGTTATTGTTGTCACTTGTTATTCTCATGGTTCATTGTTTGTTTACTTTATTTGGTTATCAAAATGTGCTCAAAATTGTCACAATATATTTTTTGTAAATGGGCTACCTCTTATCCATAGTGTCTCTGATAATAAAAATGGCGTCAATAACGTTCCCACGCAACGCCGTCATCACTTCATAAAGGATTAAGTTCAGCGCAAGTTAAACCCTTTGAGAAAAAAAAATAGCTTCGAACATAAACTCTAGAGAAATTAAACGGACCAAGTTAGTCAAAAAGGCTCATACAATTAGTTCATAGACATTCTTTCCATGCCCGTCCATCTGGCAATGTTGCTCCTTCTGATATAGTCAGTCGCGGCAGCGCCCACCGAATCACCGCCACAGCACAAGCAGGCCGTTACGCTGGGCGCTGAGCCCAGGCCGCTGAAGGAGACGCGTATCAAAAACATTATCTATCATTCTAAGTATTAAAGACAAATGTACCGGGAAACCTATGATGTGTGAAATATAGCTAATGGGTGCGTATAATTCCCGCAGGATCTCTTGCATTTAGCCCCCCAAGGGGTATTGAGTATGCCTCAGCAAGTAATGTTGGAATGATTCTGTTAACAATAGGTGATTCTGATAAATTAAACTCTTGCGTCTGATGGTGGAAGTATACGAACCTTTCTCATAATTGGCATCTGATGGTGGTTGCTGTGGAGCTCATCCTATTGGTCCGTCAGCTGTGTACAACATTCGAGCTAGTCGAGTGCGCAGGCAGCTCAGTTTCATTGGTCGCGATGTGCCGCCTATAGAAAGTTTAACGGAGTTACTCGGCGGGGAAAGGTGACGATGCGCAAAGGCCCTTAACAGGCGTTTGCTTGGTTCTACCGTAGTGGTGCATCATCTTTCGCCGAGGAGGACTATCTTGTTGAATTCCCCTATTTTCTAGGTCTCTGGTGATAGAAATTCTGTTTACAGTAGGTGACTCTGTGGTGACGGATCCAGCTCCTTGCGGGATGCGAGTCTCTTCTTTGTCTAAGGCGAGGTACCCCTTGTCCATACGATGATGGATTTGATGTTGGTCAGCACTGTTGCCACCACTATATCTTGCAAGAAGTTCTTCTGGTCCGCAAGCAGATTGGCTTCGATGTTGGCAAGCCTGATGAAAACTTCTGCTTCCGAATGCGGCGGTTTCTTCCAACTACCTATTGTACTCGATAGGGTGGTGGCTTGGTGCGCAGCTTTGTGCCAGGATATGATGATGTACATCTTCTGTAATGATTTTGTACGTCTTTGATGATAGGGAATTGCTGACCACAAGGACAGGTGTTGGTCGGTCGGCATGGTCTGTTCGGGGGTGATATGGTTGGGGTTTACGAACTCTTGGGGCCATCGGGGGCAATTTACCGTCATTCCCATCTGCAGAAGCTGAGCATTGCACTCAGTGATTGACCTCTGTATCGCACCGCGTGTAGAAATATGCGATGGCGAGCCGCTGGGTTGATGGAGTTGGCGGATTGGCTATCCATACCTAGATGGCATTGGAGCGCTGATGAAAAGGTATACGACCTGAAGGATATTGACATTGGGTAGATAAAGTGGTAAGTTATTGTATCTGCCCGGGAGTTGAGGTAGGGGATTGTACCTCTTTCAAAGTGGAGAGAATGGCCCTGGGATCATTACCCATTACACGGAATTGCGGGATCACCTAAAGCAAAAGGTAGAAGTTGTTCATCAGAAAGCGAGAAGCTGTGGGATTCGACTGATTTACTAAGAACAGATGCTAGAGGTGTTAGAGTCTGCGACGACATCGGAAGTTTGGAATTTCGGGTAATTGATACAAAATCACAATTAAAAAATCTCGAAAGCTATTGATTTTTTTAACTTTACATATATGGGGTGTAATTTTTGCATTTTAGGTCCCCTATCACGCCGTGAAAGGAATACGGCAAATTAACCGTAATCCTGTATAACTCGTGCATGTTGACTATACATTATCAGAATATCTGTCTTTGACCATGAGACCAATGGAACGAAGTGCCTTTGCTCTGGATGTATTTTTCAAACTCCACAAAACATACGTGACAAACATCATGTAAAAATCCACAATATACGTGATGTTCGTACAAATTAATACATTCTGCTTTTTCTTTAAACCTTTTGCTGGGGGATATGTTGATTACAATCGTCTAGAGGAAAATAAGTTATTTTCTTTCCTTAACAATTTACCAGCATATTATGTGTTATACTCAGGATTTGAAAGTTTATCAACTCACCAAAAAGCATACAATAATAATGGCTAAAATGTATGGGTAATGTTAAAAATATACGCCGCCATATTTTTTGGGTGTAGGAGTGAAACGGAAATGGTACTGAAGGCAGTTTTAAACTTGACACCGACAATCAATCATCTGGATAAGTCGCCATTTTTTTGGTATCCACAGTGTTGCTAGATAGTGCTCCGGCAACACCGCCTTGATTCCCATTCTCCAATATAAGTTAACTCCCCATGTGCTTGACGAGGTCTGCCTAATAAAGAGATTCGACATTTGACATGTAACTTGCCAGTTGCCAGTACCGCCCTTTACCTACATTCCTTATGATGCCCCAGTTTGCTAGGACTCATTGTAAGGTACTGTATATGTATAGTTGCTGGTTGACGTCCTGAAATATATGCTCTTTACCGGAAAGCAGTGGTAGATGTACCATCTGTGCACAAATTTTATCTAATCTGTGGCCCTATATATCGCACTCGGGGGCCCTTTGATCTTGTTGCCCGACGTACAGTGCGTCGTGTGCTTCATCTTGTTGGCCGCTACAGGTAACTAGCGAGCATTTATGATATACTAATATTTAGCAAAAATGAAGGTTCTTATCATTTTTTGACTATATCTACACTACACTGAGATAAACATGAGAAAGCAGTTGAATGTCTCATTATTTGATAGAATATAGCGAAACAACCGTTTTTGTTCTTCATACGAAGTCCCACATCGCAAGAGTTGGTCGTTCCGTTAAGGTTCATGTGACTATGCGTGCTGTTCCACCAGCTGAGCAATTTTGTTTCTATCGTTTCATGGCTAATAAAAGCCTAAATCACAGGTAACCAGTAATTATTGTGCTAACATCAGAATACAGTTAAGAGTCGTGTAAGTTGACTATATATTGGTCTTCATCCCTGAAGACCGGTGGCCGAAAGGGGTTAAATTATCTCGTTCATAAAAATTTTTATCTTGCTCCAGGTTGTCAATAATTTTTCCACCGTCAACATTTTACAAACTAAACTGCTTAAATAATAATTGATAGATTAGAGTCTTCTCCTCGTATTTACTAGCAAAAAAATTAGAGAATATTAGCCGTTTTCCCTTCAAGTCGTGTGAGACCTTTTAACCAGTTTAGACAATATATTCTTAAGGCCTACGAGTAAATGCACTTATGATTCAGATCAGACGTGGCAGCATAAGACCTGGCATAAAAAACAACATAGTCATTTCGTTTTATATTTTTACCCACTCGTAGCTCACATATAGCGGTTTTGGATTTGAAAAAAAGCAAATCGTTTTTGATAACATGTAACCTTCCACACAACCATGCGCTGTTATATCCGAGTTTTGAAAATTTTACAAAACTGCGAGGAAAAGTAGTTTGGAAACTTCCGCCTCCGTATCAATGCTCTGTACTTGACACACTCGTTTCGCCAGTCTTCAGTTTTCTGTTTCATAGTTCTTATATTTTTCGTGCATCTACATAACGGATCTTCTTCTATAATAGTCTCTCTACGAGGTTCTTCGTATTTTGAAATCAGGTTCATCTAAAAGGATATAAGTGAGACTCAACAAAATTTTGGTAAAGTGGTTTTGCAACGCTAAGCCTGAAAATAACGTAGCATTTAGGAAATACTAGGTCGTAATATTGTAATTTAACCTAATAGGGCTTTTTAAATTTGGGTATCGGTACGAAATAAAGATAGTGTTCTTCTTAAGCATTCTAGAATAATACGCATGACTGATGTATTGACCGATACTGAACAGTTTGAAGCAGAGCGTATATAACGAACAGTAATATTGTCGACGAATTGACCGATCTCCGTGTGAACTATGCGTCGTGGCTCTAGGTTCTGTGGGTAAAAAACAATAGAAATCATTCTATGCCAACAAGACAGCGGACAAAGATGAATATCGTCAAATAACGCTGTGGTCAAATTTCTAATTTCACTACCCTGGGCGGATTTTCAAAATTGAATTAATTATCCTGAGAAACAATTCATAAAAAAAAACAAAATCAGATACCCTAACCAGTAATGCATTTGTTTTTTTGTAAGTCATCAGTTGCATAGCAAATATTTGCCTGTTTTCTTCTGCAGAAGTCATATAATACCATAAGTTCTACGTCAAACGGTACTTATATAGTTTGAGTCGCGAAAAATGTTCGGTAACTCAACCGTTTATATACCTCTACCCTCCGACACCCTATAGTTTTATATGAACCTGTCATGTGATGCTACAGGCACATCTTGTCAAACGTCAGGTATACTCGTTCTAATACCAGTGGAAAGTAGAAAGTAGTAGATAAGAGGTAAGACAAAAGTACATGAAACGAAATTTTACTATAATCGTCACACTTAAGAGTTCAATATTTCTGCATTTCTTTAAGCCTCCGCTACACTACTCGCG